TGATCCAAGTAAAAAGCTTCAGTAGTGTGATAGATTTTGAGTGGTTCTTCAACCATTGGTTCAGTAGGTACCACTATTTTTTTGGTATTTTGCGTTTCCTACCATAACTAAAGATAGAAAAGAAGACCAGAAAATAAAAACTACTTAGTGATAAAGCAAACAAGCACACACGAGAATATTCACCCCACGCTATAACTCCCCGGCAACGGCGCCAGAAAAAGGTCTTGATAACCCACAAGTATAGGGGATCAATTGTAGCCTCTTTCGATAAGTAAGAGTGCCGAACCCAACGAGGAGCTAAAGGTAGAACAAATATTCCCTCAAGTTCTATCGACCACCGACACAACTCTACGCACGCTTAACGTTCGCTTTACCTAGAACAAGTATGAAACTAGAAGTACTTTGTAGGTGTAACGGGATAGGTTTGCAAGAATATAAAGAGAACGTAAATAAAAACTAGGGGCTGTTTTAGGTAAAGAAGCAACAAAGTTAGTATAGCGAGTGTGGAAAAGTGGTGGTAGGAGTTGTGAAATTGTCCCTAAGCAATTGACTATGTTACTAGACCGATAGCAAGTTTTATGTGGGAGAGGCCACTGCTAGCATGCCATCCCTGACTTGGAATTCTATGCACTTATGATTGAAACTATTAGCAAGCATCCGCAACTACTAACATTCATTAAGGTAAAACCCAACCATAGCATTAAGATATATTGGTCCCCCTTGAATCCCGTATGCATCAATTTCTATGCTAGGTTGAAGCTTTTGTCACTCTTGCCCTCCAATACATAGTCCTATCAACATACAACTAACCCTATGGTGTGATCCACGCGCGCACTCATATGATGGCAACCAAAAGACAACAACATAACCACAAGCAAATTAAATCAATCATAGCAATTCACCAATTACCGATAGGACAACGAAAATCTACTCGGACACCATAGGATGGCAACACATCATTGGATAATAATATGAAGCATAAAGCACCATGTTTAAGTAGAGGGTACAGCGGGTTGTGGGAGAGTGGACCGTTGTAGATAGATGGGGGAAGGTGATGGAGATGTTGGTGAAGATGGCGGAGGTGTTGGTGTAGATTGCGGTGATGATGATGGCCCCGGCGGCATTCCAGCGCCACCGGGAGAGAGGGGGAGAGGGCCCCCTTCTTCTTCTTCCTTGACCTTCTCCCTAGATGGGAGAAGGGTTTCCCCTCTAGTCCATGTCCTCTATGGAGGCGGAGGGGCGAGAGCCCCTCCGAGATTGGATCTGTCTCTCTGTCTCTCTCTGTTTCTGTGTTTCAGATTCTGCCCTTTCACCGTTTCTTATATTCCCGGAGATCCGTAATTCCGATTGGATTGAAATTTGAACACGACTTTTATCCGGATATTAGTTTTCTTGCGGCGAAAGTAGGGCACCAACCGCCTTACGGGATGTCCACGAGGGTCAGGGGCGCGCCCCTGCCTCGTGGGCCCTTCGAGCATCGTCTCGCCTTGATTTCACTTCCCAAAATTCACATATATTTCAAAAAAATCTCCGTCAGTTTTTATCCTGTTTGGACTCCGTTTGATATGGATTTTCTGCGAAACAAAAAACATGCAACAAACAGGAACTGGCACTGAGCACTAGATCAATAAGTTAGTCTTAAAAATAGTATAAAAAGTTGCCAAAAGTATATAAAAGTTGTAGAATATTGGCATGGAACAATCAAAAATTATAGATACGACGGAGACGTATCAATGATCCACTTAAACAAAGCTATAATATTCTTGAATAGCAGAAAGAATCAACTAATAATCTCTAGTACCGGTTCGTGGCTTGAACCGGTACTAAAGGTGATGGTGGGGTCCCAGCCTGAAAACAGCCTGCCACCACCTCTTTAGTACCGGTTCGTGGCATGAACCAGTACTAAAGGTTCGTCACGAACCGGTACTAATGAGTGCCACCCGCCTAGCCGTTGGAACCGGCACTAATGGTCACATTAGTGCCGGTTCAGTTACAAACCGGGACTAATGTGCTTCACATTAGGCCCATTTTCTACTAGTGCAAACCAAATTTCGATTTCCTCCTCAGATGATGAGGAGTCCTCGAATATCATCTCTCACTCTCTTTGTCTTCAGTTGAAACAATTTGGTTGAATTCAGTCGACCAAAACAAAATGTGACAAAAAAACCCAAAAAGCTCAACTAGGCAAACCGTCAAATACTAGCAAGGCGATGGAGGTGTAAAGGCCGACCGACAACTTTGAACCGAAACTAGCAGGCGGCGAGGCGTGAAGATGACCGGCAAAGGTGCATAAGCACGGTGAGCTGTCGGTTAGCTAAGGAGGAAGAAGACCGTGAGACGGTTTTCTCGAATCGGTGGATGCGGCGCCGGTGGCGTTCAGTTTGACTCCGGCGACTGTCTCAGACTAGGGCAGAAGGGCGACGAAGGCCAAGGGAGGCGACAAGGCAGCAGCAGACGCAGTGGATAGTCGCCGACAGTTGCACCGGGCGACGAAGCAGTGGAGGGTGAGGGTCAAAAGTGGTCAAGACTTTAGTTGGCTGGCTGGAGGCCAAGTATTTTTAGGCGTTGGTGGGGCCGAGAACCAAAATTTTTGCACGCCTAACGGTTTTCAGGCTTATTATAGTCCTGGGCCCCGCGCAAATTTTTTAGGACTTATAATAGTCCTAAAACTGTTAGAGAAGTAAAAAAATTAGGCGTCTGCGTGGGTGAAGAACTAAATATTTTACGCACCTAACGTTTTTATGGAATTGGCTAGAGATGTCCTTATAATAGTGAATGGATGATACTTTTATTAAACAATATACAAAGGATAATAGGTGGCATGTGCTTCACTACGTTACATGCATCGGTTCAGAGGCGTGCAGCTGGTGCGAACACCGTCATCTGTGTAGTAACGATTTCTTTGAAGCTTTTGACTTGATTTTATGGTTTATTAGAAGAACTGGCCATCCAGAGGGGACTCTTAGCAGGGTCGTGAGTAATGAATTTATGATGCTTTCATATATGATTTTCGACAAAGGTGCTTTCATATATAATGGCGTGTCCGTTCATTAATTGTGGACACGGGTGCCCTGTGAGGCTCTATGACTGAAACTAAAGACAACACGTGCGTACACAGCCTCATGCCTCATACTGTCATACATGGCCTGGTGTTCATCATTGCTTCTTTTTCTACCGGTAAAGTTGATTCATTTTGTCAAAAATCCTCTAACAAAGAAGAAGTACCAACTTGGGCTCGAAATTTAGCCCATTAAAAGTCTTGGTTTAGGCGGAAATTTCTATTTGACGCGCGTTGGGTCAAAATGTCGACCGGACGCATAAGGATCGAGCGCACTGGGCCGGCCCTGTTAGGTGATCTCTTTCGTTTGGTTCCTGTCCAGTTTTACTGGTCTTGGGAACCTTCTAGAAGGTTCTCTGAGCCGGGTTTCTTTTTTCATTTCCCCTCTTTTTTCCTTTTTTCCCGTTTTATTTTTTCTGCTACTTTATGTATTTTCACATTATTTTGTTATTCTTTTTTTCCTTTTTTGATTCTTTTTCAAAAAATGGATTTTCAAAAAAATGTTTTTAAAAATGTTAAAAATTTTCAAATTATGTTTGTATTATTCAAAATTTGTTCACATTTTTAAGTTTTGTAGTTTTTGTTCTAAATTTAAAAATGTTCCCTTTTTAAAATTATGCTCGGTTGAACCTTTCTTTTTGTCAAAAAATGTTTGGGAATTTCATTTTTGTTCAAATTTTCGAAAATGTTCCTGTTTTCAAAATTTGTTCATTGAATTCAATTTTTGTGTGTTTTGAAAAATGTTCAGGAATTCCGAACAAGGTTCCCTTTTTTAAAATTTGATCATAAATTAAAAAAATTGTTTGCTTGTTTATAAACATTCGGTACATTCATAAAATGTTCAGGGTTTTGAAAAATGCTCCTGTTTTTAAAAAATTGTAGACACGAAATTGTTGGCGTTTTCAAAATGACAATGGTCGTCTTCGGTTATTCTGCAAGGAACAGACTTCCTCGGTCACTAATTCACTGTGGATAACGATCTCAACTTGGATAAACTTGCTCCTTGAAGAAAGAAAAAACATGCTGCATTGCTGCATTCCTTCATCTGAACTGTTCTTGAGGAATGAAGATAATCTACAAGAAACTTGACCCAATGCAATGCAACACTACTATTGTCATTTTTCATTGCTCGCTGGTGTTCACTTCTGTAGGATTCTAGGATTGACGGGTCATCACACCCTAACTGGTTTTCATTCCTGCTATAATACAGTAAACACATGAAGTAAGAACTGATCTGATCTTTCTAATTATTCTGTAACTAAACTCCCCTAATCTAGGGCATCATATGATATTAGGAAAATGAAGATGGAGAATTATGTTGATAAGCTAGTTAATATAAACTGAAGGATTAAGTTGTTGCTGCCACTGCCAAAATGTATGATGCAACAGATGAAGTATTACTGCACTAACATAAAAAAGAACAGCAGAGATTGAGCAAGTGACACTTCTGATTAACAAGAATCACATGATGATTTGCACCGAGCAAGTGGCATGGCAAATCAATCTAGAAAACGATGAAATGCAGACTAATCCCAATCTCAATTACACACATTGTTGCAACATACAAGGATCATAAATGGTGCCCGGTACAAATGCGTCAGATCAAATAGCAGAAACGGATCAAACGATGTTGGTGATTCGGCCATACACAATTGTTCGGCAAGCAAGTACGATCCGTCAGGGTGTCCTGGTAAAAGAATGGCAAAGCAATCCAACTCCCAAGCGCACACAATTTCACATCGCAGGAGAAAGAACAAACTATACATTAACAGAGATGCAGCAGAACAAAATCAGAGACACGTTGTTTCTCGAGACAAGCTCCATTTCCAGCAACACATGCGAATAGCTTTGTTCCACGATTCAGTTCGAACTACAGGAGCAAATAGAGAACTAAACAAGCCGCTGTTCTATCAAGCTTTTGGGATCTGCAGGGGGGGACAGCCTAGCCGCCGAAGCCGTAGAGGGTGCGGCCCTGGCGCTTGAGGGCGTAGACGACGTCCATGGCGGTGACGGTCTTGCGGCGGGCGTGCTCGGTGTAGGTGACGGCGTCGCGGATGACGTTCTCGAGGAAGATCTTGAGCACGCCGCGGGTCTCCTCGTAGATGAGCCCCGAGATGCGCTTCACGCCGCCCCGGCGAGCCAGGCGCCTGATGGCCGGCTTGGTGATGCCCTGGATGTTGTCGCGCAGCACCTTCCGGTGGCGCTTGGCGCCGCCCTTGCCGAGCCCCTTGCCTCCCTTGCCGCGCCCGGACATGGCTGACGCTCTCTCCTTGGTTCGAGCGGCGAGCGGATGGAGGTCGAGGAGCGGTGGTGAATTTGTTTTGTGGTTTGCCGGAGGTGGGGAGGGGATTTTTAAGGTAGGCGAGAGGTGGGAGGAGGCGTGCTGCTGCCGTTCGATGCAGATGGAATGCATGATTGAGATTGCGATCCGGGGAAGAGACGCCGCGGATCGATCACGTGGCGGGAGGCTCCCATCGCTGGGTCAGAGGTGCGCCCGCCGGCTCCAAAGTTTTGGGCTGTGGGCGCGATGTTTTCGTGCTGGCTGGTGTACGCCAGTGGTGCCAACTGAGAATGGGCACGGGAGGGGAGTCTGTGACGTCGTTTTTACCAGAATATTGTTTTTCTTTTGCGGGGTAGAATATTGTTTTTCTAAGCAAAGGTAGCTCCACAAACTTTCCTTGACTAGGCAACCTAGTTCTAGGGACAAAAGAATTTTTGAAAAATGAAAAGTAAATCGGCATTGCAATTTTTATGGACCCGGATATGCTGGGAACGTCAGATTTGTAGCCCGTTCGAAATGAACAAATCGGTACCGATGGAAAGATCAGCCTAGCGAAGGAAAACGTTCGATCTAAGAGCATCTCCACTTGTTTGCCCCCCAGCGCATCCCGCGATTACGTTTTGGCCTATGCGCCGGTGGGTTTTTTGCCCTGGGGACGATCCAGTCCCTAGCCGCGCCCCAAGTTTCGGTCTCAAGACACACATAAATTCAAACTTGTCTTTTCCGCTACCAAAAAAATGCCACAAGTTCGGCGATCTGCCACACTTCGACGATCAAACATACACGAAAAGTTCGGCGTTCAAAGAAAGGACGCGTAGACAAAGGAATGCATCAAACGACGGGCTCCTCCGGCGTGGGACTGGCCGCTGTCGGCGTGCTCGGCGTCGGCATGGCATCTATGCTGTTAGAGTTGTGTCGAATATTGTGTACAAGATAGGTTACAGTTGGACTCTGAGTAGTATTGTGTTTAGATAGGATATGGAGTCGTGTCCTAATAGGACACTTGTATCCTAGGCCTCTCATATATAGTGGGGGTAGACACACGATGTAACCTGTGCCAACATAATAGCACTGGAACGCAGGGGAAGCCGGCGGCATGTGCCAGTGTCCAGAGCGACCGGATGCGGTATTATAGCGATGTCATGGAGAGGAGCGCCCATAGTCAGGCCCCGGAGATATAGCCATATCGATGAACCTCGTTAACAAATCTCGATGTCGTGCTCGTGTGATTGCTTGGTCCTCGGATAATCGACGGTATGCCTCGGATTTATTCTAACAAATAGTATCATGAGCTAGGCTATTCAGAGGCCATGAATTATTGATTCGGAGGAAGGTACGTGTGTGACGGCTCGACGTGCGGCGATCTTGGATTGATCGGGCGAGCATAGAGGCAGCGGCGGCGACGTGTCGCGCAGGTTGGGCAGGCAGCAGGTCGATCGATCTATCGACGGGCGCTGGCTGCGGAGGCCAAAGGCGCGTGCTGGGCACCGGCCCAGCTGGCAGAAGCCGCAAGGCTGCAGTCGGTGAGACACGGACCAAGCGGCGGATCGTGCTGGATCCAGTCGCGTATAGCTGCAGGCAAGAGCAATCAGAACCGGATTTGGTTTGGATAAAAAGAGGACCGAGTCCTCACGTGACACGACGAGAAGCAACAGATCCAATCAGCGGAGAGCAAATCCATCAGATTGAACAGGGGCAACGCATCCATTGGAAAGCAAGAGGTTTTGGCAAAGCAATTACTAGCATTGAAGTTGAGCCTGGGAGCTAATACACGTGAGTACAAGAAGGATTTTTGGTAGGAATTTGCTACTTGTGCATCTTGTGTACTTGAGCACGTGTTGGAAGCTTGGATATTTTTTCGCAAGGTCAGACATACAAAAGACTAAGGTGCCAACGGGTACCACGTTTAAGGCGGAGAAGTTCACGGAACTGAAAACCTTGGGTTATGGTAGACAAGAGTGAAAAATTTGTTGGCACAACAGAGATGCTTGAAGGCGTTGCGGGAAGTCAATTCAACGAAGATGGAATTATCATGTGATGGATGGAGATTCGCGGAAGACGATTTGGGAGCCTCGAGTGTGTCTACAGTCGAACGAGTTCGGCTGGGTCGGACTGGACAGTCTGACGGGATCGACGCAAGTCGGTTGATACAGAAGACGGTGGTGGGATCAGCGACGACATAGGTGCGTGATGCTGATGGTGACCGACTTCTGGGGCGTGGAAACACGTGGCGCAGACCCTGAGGGCTTGTGTGGCTTCGACAAGACTATGGTGTGGGATTGATTCAAGGTGGTGTATACACAGAGTTTGAAGTCGATGAGACGCAGGGGTGGACTGATCATCTACCATGGAGTCATGTTGAAGGTGGAGCTGGATTGAGGGGCTACGGCGTAAGTCGACGGGGTCGAAGCCTATTCAGCGGGAAAAAGCGAGGGACGCGTAATTCGGACTGGAGCCCAGTGGTCTGATGGAAGCGTGAAACTCGTCATCGGTAGGTGATGATCGATGGTACTCTGCAGTGGGGGTTGAGTGGTGTGAGTTCGCGACTCTTGAGACTCGACCGGGACAACGGAGGCTTGACGCGGTAATAGCGGCGAGGCGTGCGGTACGCACGGGACATGGAGACGGGTCAAGGCTCTGGTGGTCATACATGTGGTGAGACAAATATGAATTTGACTCAGGATGACTACAAGCAACGGTGAAATTCCTCCAAGTTTCAGACAAACGGTCAAGAAAGGAGCGGTGATGTTGAGTTCAGGTAACTCTTATGTGTGACACCCAATATGTGAGTTGTTCACTTTCACGCAGGTCAGTGATCAGTGTGTGCTGACGTTGGACTGATACTCTGGAAGTTGGGAGCACCTAGAGTAACAAGGAACTTAATTTTGCTCGAGCGTTGACTGTGGTCAAGAAAAGAAGGGACTACAAGTTGCAGGTGGAGTCACATGGAGTCTTTGGAGTAGCAGCGGTACTCATGGGATAAGCTCAAGTCCAATGTACATGGAAGTTTGATGCATTGACAAATTCAGGGTGGTGGAGAATATTCGCCAAAGTGGAGTTTGTTAGAGTTGTGTCGAATATTGTGTACAAGGTAGGTTACAGTTGGACTCTGAGTAGTATTGTGTTTAGATAGGATATGGAGTCATGTCCTAATAGGACACTTGTATCCTAGGCCTCTCATATATAGCGGGGGTAGACACACGATGTAACCTATGCCAACATAATAGCACCGGAATGCAGGGGAAGCCGGCGGCATGTGTCGGTGTCCAGGGCGACCCGATGCGGTATTGTAGCGGTGTCATGGAGAGGAGCGCCCATAGTCAGGCCCCGGGGATGTAGCCATATCGGTGAACCTCGTTAACAAATCTCGGTGTCGTGCTCGTGTGATTGTTTGGTCCTCGGATGATCGACGTAGGCCTCGGATTTATTTTAACATATGCTCAGGCTGGTCGGCGTCGGCGTGGCTTCTGTGCTCGGCGTCGGCGTCGGTGTGACTTCATCGCTCGGGCTGGTTGGCGTCGGCGTGGCTTCTGTGCTCGGCGTCGGCGTCGGCGTGACTTCATCGCTTGGGCTGGGCACCGGCGTTGGGGTCGGCGTGGGCGTAGGCACGGTGGTCGAAGGCATCTGGTTCAAGATGAGGCCACGCTCCGCCAGGTACCATGCCTTGACCTGCTCGTCCATCGTCGACATGTCCGCCCCATCAAGAACGCCAGGTCGGTGTTCCTCTTCTTCACGGCGATGTTGGTCCGGAGTAGGTCGAGCTTCACGTCCTGCTTCGTCATCAACACCGACCACTGCGCATCGGATTTCTCCTCCCTCTTTGTGGCGTTGTTCTTGGCGTCGACGATGCACTGCTCGATCGATGATTGCAGCCACTCGTCAGCCGGTGTTGCGTCCCTCGCCGTCTTGGCTCTTTTCTTGCCATCAAGGCGCCCATCCGCCGCCCCCGGGGCGGGCGCGTCCGGCTTGTACGTTTCTTTGGTCTTGGCGAGGATGAGTCGGACATCACTCCACTTCTCGCACGACTCGATCCGGGAGAACACGTGAAGGAACTTGAGCTCTTGGTCCCTATTTTCTTAGCGGTACATGTTGAATATCTGAACCATCTGTGTAGCCGAAGAACAAGCGTCGGCGACGTACACAGTGAAAGAAGTGAGCCGGCGGCTGTACATACCCGACCCTCGACGTGGGCGCCGCTTTCCGGGCGAGCCGTGATCTCCTCGACGACCCCATGCCATCTGTTGCATGCCGCCTGGACGATCGCCCAATGGTTTGACATGGCCATTTCGCCGCGCTGCATGTGGATGGTGGCGAAGTAGGGGTCGACCAGCTTGTGCTCATCGAACGCCTATTTGATCTGTCTCTAGTACGTGTCGGCGTTCTGGTTCGCGCCAGTGATCGGGTCGATGCTGACGGTCTTCCATGCTTCCGCGAGGCACTCGTCTTCTTTGAACGTCCACTTGACGCGCGGCTCGTCCGACCCGGCATTCCCCCCTGCTTCTTCTTTCTCCCTTTCCATACCGGTGCGGGCTCCATCTCCTCCTCCTCTTCCTTCTCCACCTCCTCGACATCGTCGAGCTCACCGTCCATGTCGACGGCGGTGTCCATTGTGTCATCTTGCGCGCGGAACCCGGGGTAGGAGGCGGCAGCGACCGAGCCGCTTCTGATGATCTCGTTCATGTCGACCTTGGTCGGGCCGGGGTTACCGAAATGTGGCGCCGAGGCTTGTGAGAAGGGTAGGGCGCCCCGGTGCAGAGGCGGCATCAGCGAGGCTGAGTAAGCCGGCGATGAGTAGTTGTACTGGGTGTGGAGGCTGGCGAACACGGGCGAGGGAGTGCACTAGTCGGGGTTCAGACCGGAGGGTGAGGAACATGGTGGCGCGCCATGTGGGAAGGTGCTGTTGGGGTTGAATCCACCATGCGCGTCGCTGTCGGAATAGTTGTTGGGTTCTATGGTAGGGTGCATCGACTGTAAATTAAAATTCCTACGCGTAGAACAACCAAGAACATGCTACGGGAGATGGATCACAGTTTGTCACCACTAGACGCGCAGTGCCGTGTAGCGGAAAAAGAGTTGGGGGCAGCGTGTCCGCGTGGATCGTCTCCTCCTCATCCGATCTCCCTCGTACAGTC